TAAGATCCTCCCTGGTAAGCCAGCTCGTGGGCTACACAGAATATTAGAAATGGGTTAGAACAATATGTAAGAGCTAGCCATAAGGAACTGGAACTATCCGGGCCAGGCAGTGTTTGAAAGAATACAGTTTCCGTGTAATTATTTCTGGGCATAAGCTAGCCATGCGGGCGGCCGGGTGCCGGGGACGCAGCCCTGCCGCCGTCCCTATTTCAACACTCAGTCAACTCAGGAAGAGCCCTGCCTCACTTCCTGCTTGATGTTGGAGGCTGAACTTAATAAAACACCAGACTTTACCTACCACCCATGTGGCAGTGTGGTGTTAGAATACTCCATGGAAGAAGGGAGAATGAATGGCTACATACAGGCCCAACGGGAAGGTCACAAGATGGTTGCTCACAATTTCAACTCAGGTGCCATTTGTGTTTTGCTTAACTTATTCTGCCCTAAATGATCTTGAGGTTTAGATTTATGAGTCCTTAAGACCTGTGTGGCCTGGCAGTTTCGACCATGCACTCCTGTGTGCCGACTTCAGCTGGAGATCTTCAGCTACTGACCATGGTCCCTAGGCCTCCCTATTGCTCAATGCTCAGGGGAACGTGGTCCTTTCATTCTCTGCCTGGCACATATGGGTACAGAAGCCTGTGTTCCTCTTGCAAATTCCTCACAGGAACATGGGGACCTCTTTAGAATGACTCCAAATATCTGTATCTTTCTTTCCAGGCACCAACACTGACAGTGTGGAAATTTTTAGTTACTTTTTTTCTTTACTGTTTAACAATGACTATTACTGAAATAATGGTGTGGTGGTTTAAATAGGTGTGGTCCCATAGACTCATGTGCTTGAATGCTTGGTCATAGGGAATAGCACTATTATGAGGTGTGGCTTTGTTGGAGAAAGTGTGTCACTGTCAGAGTTGGCTTTGAGGTCTCATAAGCTCAAGCTATACCCAGTATGAAACACAGTTCACTTCCTACTATCTGAGGATCAAAATGTAGAACTCTAGGTCCTTCTCCAGCACCATTCTGCCTGCATGCTGCCATGTCCCACCATGATGATAATGGACTAAACCTCTAAAACTGTAAGTGAGCCACCCTAATTAAATGTTTTCCTTTATAAAGGTTGTCATGATCATGGTGGCTCTATACAGCAATAAAAACCCTAATTAGGACAAGTAGTTTGAGTTATTTGCAGTATGAATGCAAATATTTTTAGCAAACTGTGTGTGTGTGTTCAATATCATGACAATGATATTGGGTAGAGGTCAAAGGACAACTTTCAGGTGTCAGTTCTTTCTTCCTTACTATGTGGGTATGAGGAATCAAGCTCAAGTCATCAGACTTGGCAGCAAGTGCCTTCCCCACTGAACCATTTCACCATCCAATAATGAAAATAGTGTTACAAAAATATAGATTAAGTCAGACTCTGGGAGTGGTCAATTAATGCGGTGCTAGGGATAAGGACACAGGGCCTCCTGTGTGCTAGGTGAATGCTCTACCACCAAGTGGAGTCTAGAGTTCCCAGGATCACACTTTTCAGGATTAAATATTTTCTAATGTTTTTAAATAGAAGCAAACTTCCAAACAGCACACCCCTAAGAGAATCGAGTAGCCATTGAAACAATTGTAGTGTATCTGTGTGCATCACAAGAATGGAAGAGAATCAATGGTCATGTGACCATTAAACCCATGCCATCTTGCCCTGTCCTGTGTTAGACACGCTATGTCTTCCTAACTAGAAAGTTTCTCTTAAGGACACAGGCAGCTCAGGTAAGATGTCGTTTATGCAACAGGATTAACCAGTCTTCAATTTCACAGAATCCTAAATAAGAAAAACAAAACAGAAACAGAGAAGGGTAAGCAAGAAGACCAACACATAGAACATCTAGAGGAAGAAAATAAAATCTAGCCAGAGTAGCTGCAGAAAGGAATCAGATGGCAAGTCCTTGCACGAAAGGGTCAAAACTCTAGAGAGTTCTGAAAGCAGAGGTTAGCGGTTCTGTCCCTGGCTGGCGTATCTTAGGTAAATTTCCTCCTTTTGTTTACGTTTAGTCTACTCATCAAGGAAATGGGTATCATGGTGATACCCATAGTCTAGAGTCTCGGAAAGTGCACACTGCACTTTGGAAACACTCAATGTTGGCTATTCTGATTTCATAATTCTGATTTTTCTGGATGACCTGAAAGATCTGACTTGGAGTGTCACAATAACACCCCTCATGGCATGTGATATAATTGTACCTCTAGAGCTTGGGTCCTCCCTGCCTCCCCGTCCTCCTTTGTGCTGTTCTCAGATCTGAACACTGAACAAAAATATTTTTGCTCTCTCAGTTTTG